AAAAAACTAAGTTCCCTCGTCGGTTGTCTTCGTTCTTCAGCTTAGAACGATCAGCTTAGAAATTATCTTAATATTGTAATTAATACGAATTAATGCTATTAATACAAAATAACTTAAACTAAACGCAACGTAGTCGCTAATACTCAAACGAAAGAGATAGACGGAATGGAAAAAGTTCCATCGATCATTTCGTTTACGCACCTAATATTCTATATACCAAGCAGTTATTAAGTCTACGATGAACCACGTTAAACTACAGTATGAACAAGTATCGCGATGCAAGTGTTGTCGCCAGAACCTGGTTTAAGAAAATAGGAAAGACGGGCGACACCTCGCTAACCCGGATCCATCTTTTACTGCCATGGAGCTTTGGGCTGGTCACCTGCGTACCAGACCCGAACCAAAGGAGTACACAAGCATGGTAGTGCAAGCGAGATTCTCTGTTTACGGAGCAGCCTCCCGACTACTCCGTACCCTTGCACGCACGAGTCTTTCTCCAAATCCTACTTACCAGGCAAAGACTAAACACGTCCGATATCTGGCTTCTCAATAGAAACCAGAGGGATCGGCAAACAGTCTTAGTGTACAGACCCACTGCCCGTACCATAAGGACAGACCCACTGCCCGTACCCCAAGTCCGTGTAGAGAATCAACGAGCAAAATGAATTAATAATAACTTGGTATGCACAATGGATGGTCATAATTTAAGTCTATTAATAGATAGACTAAAATTAATAATAAACGATGCGATGATGAATATGAATATAACAATGAATATCGAATTATGATTTAAGTTCAACTTACAGTAACTTAACGCAGTGGTAGACGCACGCTTTGAAGATGTAGACGTTGATCGATGTCTTCTTTCGATGGAATAACTGATTGGAAAAATATTTTTCATTGTACAATACACATAAAATACATAATATGCATAGTAAATAAATCACAGTAAATGAATCACAGTACATAAGAAAATAAATATCAAAGTCAATGGTTCTCGAACATCTGTAACATACAAAGGATTAGTAACAAGAGGAGGGACACAATAATATGCACAGTAAATAAATTGATGGTTGTCGAATGCCTGCAACAAACAATGGGTTAGTAACAAGAGAAAGGACGAGTATGAGACGCACGCCCACCCTCCGCGACGGCTCACGAGAAAGTGAGAAAGCTAACACCGTTATGTGTTGGGCGTACGCAGGTTTGTTCGTGTTGAATTGTTTTTGCCGACTTGAACGACCTTCCTCCTTGAACGACCCAAACACCAGATGGTACGGCCTGGTACGACGTACACGGCTAGGTCAATAAACTGTGTGACGTAACGTCACTAGCGCGTTGGACCGACCGAGAGCACCGATACCGCGGCGCGCTCTACCGTACTCTCTCGCTTGCACACCTCCCCCCATAGACCACCGAAATTCTTCGGCACGCGTCAACACCGAAGGAGAGCACCGATACCGCGGCTCGCTCTATCGCTCTCGCTCGCAAGCCGTAACATCACCCGATTCCCGGAATCCCGCGGTTACGAGATGGCTCATTACGGTAAGGCATTCCCGCAAGGGAAATTGTAAGCCGCCGGCCAAAAGGTAGATTTAATAAATTATTTGCGAAACTACATCTATTCTGAATTTATCTGTTACGAATATACAAATGTAAAGCAAGATATAAAAACGAATAAAACAAGAACATGTAAAAAGTAACATTATAAAATGTCCATTAACGATGCATTTAAAATAAATTGTCTTGTAGTTAAGTGATAAAATATATACTTTTCCGTTTCATGTTTTGATGACTGTTATATTTATCCCTTAACCTTAAACTGAAGCATCGGATATTTTTATTCTCATGAAATCATATAGATACACGTAATATGAATGGAATATATAACACTTCATTTGTGCTAATAATACTCAGAATTCATGCTTTATCGGTAACGTCGGGTATTGACACTAAAATGGTAATAGGGCTACGTAGCCCTATGAACGTGGGACAGAAAAAAGCATTGGATGATAGGTCTATTCTATACCTAGTCGGTGGTAATATGTCGTTTTTGAGTCCATTTTATACGTGTCATTTTTATTAATTATTTTAACCTTTAAACAATTAAAGTAGAAAAACTTTTTAAAAATAAGTAAAAACAATACATATCTCCTTTTTGTATGTAATGTTAGAAATGTAATATTGTAAGTGTCATATTAAACACGAAATATAACCTCAAATTAACTTTTATAATACAGCTATATAAATTATTTGTGATTGCCAAAAAATAGGTGGTAGAAAAGAACATAATCAATATGAACCCAAAGATTCAGTAGGGGAAAGAATGAAAAAGGCGAAAATGCAACGTTTTGCAGTGTGCAACTGTGTTATTGGAAATACAGCTGTGAAGAGATTAGAACCGCATAAATGAGTTTGCAATAAAAAAAATGAAAATTTTTCAATCAAGTAAATAAATATGTTTATGATAAGATTAATAACAATACAACTGATATAAGTATGGTAAGTTGCAGTACTGTGTGTATAGATGAGACTAAAAACGTTTATGAAAAGAATATTAATATCAATAAATGTAAAGCTATGAGTAGTAATGAAACTATGTAATTATGTTACAACTTCACTCAGAACCTCTCTAGTTTCTCTTATTGTACTGAAGTTCAATGAGTCCAAGAAAGGTTTTTGGCCACGTGGAAAATATAACATTGGCCACAGGCACAACAGTTTTACTAATGACCGTGAATTTTTCCACCACTTAATTAGCAATAACTCCATCTTGTGGTTCATCTTACCTTGTAAAATTAACGAGCTCATCATATTGTGCGTCCAAAATTGTTGCCAATGCCTTCTTTGTAAGAGGCTAATATTAATCATTTGGTGCATTAATAAATGCTTTAAAATGTTCTAAATCAATTATGCAAAAAGGGATATTACATAAAAAAAATGAATTTTCAAGTAACTGATCAATTTTACTTCGTCCTAAATAAAAATAAACTTTTTATTAACATAATTTCAATCTAAACAAATTATATTTACTATTCTGTACCAATTTTGTGGAACCTTTTAACAATCATTCTTCATACATGTAAAGCGAATTTAATTTAATTGTTTTTAATCAGAATTATAATTGTTAATAAATTGACATTTCTTTACAACCTATACGAAAAACGTTTCATAGGCTAGAAACACGTTATAAATATTTTCATTCCAGATATACCACATTTACGACACATTTACGATATTTAAAACACGTGTCACGTATAAAATAAAAAACGCGTATTTACCCACCTCTGGGTGGTCGGTTCAGTCAGGTGCAGTTAGGTGGGAACCGTGGAAATTATATACACCCACGAGCAAACTCGGCTTCCGCTAGGGGAAAAGTGGTGTAGAAGAAAAGTCTCATCACTTTGGAAGTTTATTTCAAGTACTGAAATAAATGTTAATTTGGTACAAATTTCAATAATTCCCGATAGCAAGTGGTAAGAAGTTCTCTTCCCACGCCACATTTTCCCCTAGTGGAAGCCAAGTTTGCTCGTCAGTGTATATACAATTCAATTTAATGCTTTTGGGGGATTTAACAGTATAATTTGGGACATTCGTACATCGCTATAATGATTTCTATATTGCAAAGTCAGATTTTTATTAAAAAAGCAGTACGTTTACAAAAATTTCTACCCCAAAGATGTACTGTCGGAAGCTTTGCATACAATAATGGTGATATTGAGGTTAGATTATCTTATTTAAAACAATACATAAAGTCTATCAAATAAAAAGTTAGATGTAAATATTATAAATTTAAGAACATTTGTTACGTATATTTTTTTTAAGTAAACGTAGTTTTATATTTTGTTTTTAGAATATAATTATTTGTCATTTATCAAATGTATTACTGTTTTGTAGGAAAAATGAAAAGTTTGTAATATATATTACTTTATTGTCCTAGAGCTTCGCACGAACCTTACAAGTAAGATATGTGCACACAGAAGGCAATAATAAAAAAGAAAAAGAGTTAATATATACAGGGCTCTTATCGAAAAATATTTTTGGTCTTAAACTATTTACCCTAGGAACATCATGTGTAGCTTTAGTAACTCTACCATTTGTTTGGGATAATGCTATACAAGCAGACAAAGATGCAATCACACTGGGTTTAATCGGTTTTATGGGTGTTTATGCAATATGTACTCCATTGTTAATACATTTCCTAGTAGGAAGGAAATATGTAGCTAATATGTACTATGACTCTGCGGCAGATAAATATCTTGCTCAAACATATAGCATATTACTTAAAAAAAAAACGGTATTTGCAATACTTCCTTACTATATGTATTTTAATCTTATTTATGTATGGTCATCATATGCATAACTTGTTTCAGGTGGAATTCACAGAGAATGATGTACATGTGCCTGATTTTACTGGACCATTCTCAACATGCTTTGTAAAAGGAAAACCAATGTTCTTTACTGAGCCCGAGTTCACAGATAAAACACATTATCATAAACTCATGGGTCATTATAAACCAATCAATTTTCAATTAAACACTGATGTAGATAATATTAAAGAGTTACAACGTAGTCATAAACAACAATAAACAGAATTTTAAGTTTGAAGCAATTGCATTTATTACACAACTTTTTAATTTAAAATTTTAATACATTACTTAATGTCTAGTATAAGTCACTAGGTACAAAATATATACAATACATTATCATGTAGACATTGTGTATTGAAAAAACATGAAAAGAACTATTAAAACACAAAATGAATAAATGATTTACATTCTAGTCATTACATTTGTAAGGACTATTACCAATCTACATACGACATTTATAATTTTCTTTACTTTTCCTTTGAAATATATCATGTTGTGGTAAAAGGTTTATAGGTTTTACTCAAAGGTTAGCGTATAATCATATAAACTATACGTTTATAAATATATTTTTAATTACACTTATATAAATAATTATATAAATCAGGCTTGTCCACAGCAGGGATCCCTCAAGCCGAGTAGTTTCTTAGCACTTGCATGAGAGCGATAGTTTACTAGCGTTATTTGTCGCATGCTACGTGGTATAGTGAATTGAATATTGGCGTCGTGGTACTCATGACAAGAGGGGATTTGAATAGGAAAGCTACAAGTATTCCCGAGCTCTTGGTCAAGGCTAATATCAACAAACTAATGAATTTTATGAAATTAATAATTGTTTCTTGTTTAACTCTTTTTCAATCGTATCACTAATGAATGAAAAATCATTCGAGCAGCGCGACTGTATGGGCGCATACTGTGCTTATTTTACATGGTTGAAATTGAACTTGTCTTCAATCAACAAACTTGACCACTCAAGCAATTTTAAAACTGACATTTCCAAAATTATTGTAGAATTTAATAACTGATGCCTAATTAAAAAAAAATTATCTTACGACTATTTTTTTCTTTTTTCAGTTCCTTTGATAAACACAACAAACCTTTTATACCAACTTAATGCAATTAGAAAATAAGATATATTACGGATAATTGTGAGAAATTGACAAAAGTACAAATACAATTGGATAACCCAATTACAGAGTCCCATTGTTTCATAAATACAGCCTCTAGGCATAATAATAGTTTTAAGAACAATAACGTAATTTTTGTTACCATAAAGATGTAGTGAATACGTTATGAGGGAAATCACAGATTATAGTCATTAGCGTTAAAATAATTTCAAACACACACACGCGCGCGCACGTATTAACAGGCATACCATTAAAAAGAATACGATACATCGTACATATTTTTACAACTACATACAAGTGTTCTGTTGGAAGTAAACCGTTGTAATGGCTAATTCAAGTGTCAATGATTCTATTTTTGGTGAATGAGTATTGAACTTATAGAAGGCATTCTAAGAACCCATTAGGTAACATCAATGGCAATAATGCCGGATCATACTGGTACCGTAACCACTGCATCTTCCGCATTAGTTTTCTAACCAAGCTATGCATTAAAATGCAACCATTGAAGTTCCAGTACAATTAATTAGAGACAAAAGTGTCAACTGGTGATGCTTGCAACAATGTGCTGTTAGGAGAAACGGGTGAAAATGATAGTGCTACAAGTTATAAGGTTTCGACTGCTTCTTTACAAATTAACCAATACTCTGTGTATGTGCGAAAACATACGAATTATCTAAATGTCAAACAGTGAACACTTTTGTTTTTTGTTGGAGATAGTGGAGATTGAAAATGAGCCAAGATCATATGAGCAAAATAAATATGCCAAGTTAACTGATCGATCACTGTTCACTAAGCTGGAAGCAAATCAAAGTCATCCGAAACATGTACCATTGGAACATGCATGTCTTCTATCTGAGGTGTTGCTTTAAATTCGCATAATCCAACTTCTTTTAGTTTCCATTCCCAATCCATTCTTTGCACAGCGTGTAGCGATTCAGCTTCATTGTGATGTCTAAGCAACATTGCTTCCTAAAATAATATTTTATTGTAATTTATTATTGTTTTGTTGAAGTTTTAGTAGTGGCATTTAGTAATGTTCTACGCTTGTTTAAACTGATATGCAAGAAAAAAAATGCTTATCAATCGTTTTTAACGTTAAGATTTCTTAATTTGACTTGAATAATCATAGACAATGTGTAAAATGACAAATGTCTACGCGGTAATTCAGGTCATGAATAACTTAATCACTATTATTTTTACCTTGATTTTTTCCCATTTATCATCCACATCTTGTAACCAACTTAGAAAGAGTCTGCCATTATATCTACTCCTTGCATTCCTGTCCTTCTCTTCTTGTTCTGGAGTAATAACATTATAAACCTCCTCATCTTTTAATATAGTACAAACAGAAAAAGGTAAAGATTGATTAGCAAGAGCTCTAGCAGCTCTGCCATGTACTCTAAGAATTTCCTGCTCCACTGATAATACTAATTTCTCTTTTTCGACAACATGCTGCATTCGAAGACGGTATCTCTCTTTCTCTTGTTCAATGTATAAATCCTTCATAGCACCTTGTAGTCCCACCGGAGGATTAACATTCGGTTCTTTGCTTGCATTTCCGGCTAATACATACGTACAACGATTCATTAAATAGTCCTTGAAGCCCTGAGGTGGTTTTGGTTGAACCGGAAAGAGTCCTTTTCTTCTTCGTTCAATCTAATAGGATTAAAATTATTATTTCTCCTTAATACTTTGCACAGACTGCATCACAATTATTTTAGTAATGTTGTATACTGACCTGTTTCCTAATATTGAGAAACAATTGGAAACAATTGGTAATAGGTTGATCGTGTGGATGTACTTCTGGACCCGTATTCGTTGTTTCAGATGCTTCATTAGAGGCAGCTGTAGCAGCTTGTTGTGCTTCTTTATTGGGTTTCATTTTTCTTTTTCTGGGATGCAGTTCAACCGGTGGCGCTGGGGTACCCACATTCGACGTTGTTGACGAGGTAGTTGTAGAAGTGTTTTCTGAACTCTCTGCCCCGCTATCTTTTTGACTTTTCCCACTGACTTCAGTACTTTTTTCTGACTTTTCCATCACAACATTTGCCTTTGAACTAGCACTATTATTCGAAGCTTCTGCTGAACTGTTCTTATTAGATTCGGAACCAGCCACTTCAGGTGCTGGTGAATGATGCCGTTGTTGCGGTGATGAATTGTTTGAACGATCTGTTGAAGTAGTCGCTGGTAATGGAGATGAGTTCGAATAACTTCCGGCACTCGTCGAGGTAGAAGTTTCTTTCAATGCTGATGAGCCATTACTGCCATTGCTGGATCGATGCGAACTTCTAAGCACTCTCTGATGATGTGTTGATCTTTCCTCCCCGTGTAAAGCACCACTAAAATCTTTTTTGTCTTCGTTTTTAACATTAGTTCCAGTTTCTGTTGGACTCGTTGTACCGCTTGCAGATTGGCTTTGATCTTTATCCATTGAATCATTACTATTAGAACTTGCGACTACATAAGGTAACTGATGACTTCTATTGGATGTACTTTTCCCATTTCTGTTTCCCTGCTCTTGCTCAGATGTGCTACTTTGTGGAATAACTATTTTCAAAGGTGGTACTTTGGGTGCTGAATTGGAATCTGAACCTTTGGACCTATCGTCTTCACCGTCAGATTCGGGAGGTGCCGGTGTAGTTGTTTTGACACTTGTCGCCGAACAAGATGGATTTGAAGGCTTTGGACTACTTACCATTGAGGCAGTACTTGGACTTTTTCTATCGGCGCTAATAGAAGTTGTGTTTTGATTACTCTTACCAGACGTTGCCCCAGAACCCTGTTTACCAGACTTTGTACACTGTAACGACAAATAGACCTATTAAAAACTATTTCTATAATTTCATATTCTGCTGACTGTAATATATGATAGTTACCTTTTCCCCTATATTAGCAGTATTCCTGCCGGTACCCTGTCTTCCGGTTGCTGTACTTTTTAAACTTTCTTTTACAGGCTCCGAATCTTTCCGTTTTTTCCTACGATTTTCCTCGTCTTGTTCCTCGGTATTATCACTTTCAAAAGCACGTTTGGATGAAGGCGACGCCGAAACTGTAGAGGTATCATCTGTAGTAGCTGACGTCGTTGTTGTTTCGCCAGAGGATGTCGTCGAGCCACCAGCAGTGGACGCACTACTGCTACTGCCTTGGTTTCCCTGACTACCAGCAGACTTGTTGCCATCTTTATCTTTCTCAGGATTAGGATTTGGCGATGAGCTTGCACCTCTGACCGGTGTTGGTTCCTTCGAGCTTTTGAACTCGTAAACGTCACCACTGTCAGTGGCTGTTGACGGTGGGTTCCCAGACGTGCTTGAGCCTGAGACAGCATTTACAGTCCCCGACGAGACGTTTGACGTCTTCGTTGAAGTTTCCATTTGACTCTGATTCTGTAAATATCGTTTTAGTTTTAAAGGCTGAAAAAATCGGACGAATTAAAATATTTATGGACTGTTTTTCCACAGAAGTGTACAGAAAAAGAAAATATCAAAGAGTTCTGTTTGCTCTCTGAATGAACTTATTACTCGTGTTGTTTATATTTATTCCCGTGAAATCATACTGTATTTGAAATATTGAAATTTATTTAGAAAAAAAAAGGGCGAGAGAAGATAAAAATCACAAAATCTATGTGATTAATTTAGAATCTACACTCAAGGAACCAATTAGCAATGGAAGTCACACGCTATACACTCGAACGTCGTTTGGACCATATATCGGTCAGAGGCGCTGCATTTGGCACGTCATAAATTTTGGGCCGAGCCTTTGGCAAGTGGCCTCTTTGTACATTTTGCCGGCCAACGACAATCACAGAAAACGTTAATGAATAAAACTGAAATATGACGAAGAACAAGAGGAAATACTTTATTTGGACGTTATTTCTAAAAAATATTTAGTTGAACATTTACTGCGTTAAAACTCTTTTTTTTTTAGGCATTACAAACGAGTAGAAAGTAATGACATCGCGGGACGATAGACAAAAATATTTCGTTTTTCAATAAACTGTAAATGTATTAAACTTTTCTATAAACGTCATATTATTGTAAACGGAACTCAAAGTAATTATTACTATAAATAATTTAGAGTATTGTACTACTTTACACTACTCTAATGTATAATATTAATACTAGAAATACTATACTATTACTATTTTAAAAATGGCTAATAACCTATTCTTATAATTTATTAAAAACAATAATGGAAGAATGCAATATGAAGAATTATCGCTTCTATACGTTAGAAACGATCCAAATTATATTGTGTTTGCTCTTATTTTAATTAGAAAGATCTCGCCGATATTTTCATAAAATTCTCGTTAACACGTTAACTGCCACAGTGAAAAATGCCGTACGTAGCCATATGCCTTTTACATATTTCGTTTTTCAAATCAGAAATCATTAAAAATATATGCGTTCAATTAAGACAGGATGTTGGCCTTGTTTTAAATTATACTGCGATATTTATTTTACGCAAAACTTTTGTAAAGTATTTAAATAATTTAGGCTCTTTGCGATGTACGTGTCACCCATATTTCGGTGACGCGCGGTCAAAGTGTTAATAAAGAATCAAAAATAAAAAGTTTTCATCTTTATAATAGTGTTGTTTCGCCAATACGCAAGTTTTTAATCTTGTTTTGTCTTCTAAACTTTCAGTATACATAACCAGCCGGATTGGTTCCAAGGGCTACTAGCACACGACCGCCCGCCCTCTCAGTACAGTAATGTCCTGATAAGTGTGAGTCGATTTGTTCACGACAAGTGTGAAGTCGTCATCCCCACCACTGGAGAAGGAGGCCGTGGAATCGGTCAAGCGTATAATTTTTTGCCCGGTGCGCCGCGGCGGCTTCCCTTTCACGAGCCGATGGATAATCGAGGGGAACAAATGCAACGATGAAACTTTTTGTGTTTGGTTCTTTGTTAATGAAATATTCGTGAGATTTTTCTGATTAAAATGATACCAAACACGATATAATTTGGACCATATTTACTTATGATTAATCAGAAGCGATAATGAACGAATATGCATGGTTAACACTTTCTACATGAGTAAATATGATCCAAATTATGTCGTATTTGGTATCACTTTAATCAGAAAAATCTCATCAGTGTACTAGTAAAAGTTTCGTCAACAACAAATCAAAAATAAAGAAGTTTCATCGTTACATTAGCGTTGTATCACCGACACCCGGGAATGTAATCTTTTCTTGATCTTCGCTCATTCAACCGTCGCGTCGACCCGTCGAAAAAAGTCTCTTTCTTCTCACCGACGGGTACGACAGACAGACTTGACGGACGGACAGAGCGGGGAAATGTATACGTATATGTACGACGCTTCGTCGAAGCGATTGAGTGTCAGCGAACGCTTAGAAAGCTGTCGACGTTAGAATGGTAGCTGGATCACCTCCAGTCACACGTATTTTTATTATTGGCCGAAACGGTAGACACTGTGATGACCAATCATATCTATAACTCATCCCTGTGACTCACTTTCTGTTTTTCACAATTTTCTCTTCCATTAGTCACATGAACTTCAAACCTTTGCGCTGCGCCCTTAGTCACTAACCCCTACCCTTAGGTAAGATTTTAGATCGTAAGATAGATAAGAATGTAAGCTAGCATTTAGGAACAGTCTCTGTACAACCGGCAATCCTCTACGTTGCATTAAATATCTTATTCACAAGTTGTGTCTTGGCATATAATCCCTCACCTAAACGGTATATCTGTGCGACGGTGTAAAGTCAGTAATCGCGAGTATCGGAAAGTGCTACGTCTACGGATTCAACGCTTTCGCAGTTCTTACGCGTGGACCGTCACAACACACAATCGGACTGTGTGACGAAGAAAACGAACGAGACACATCGAGACCAAGTAAGATAACGCGAACCGCAGCGATTACAATGTAACCATTAGCCGGTGGGAGCGTCGTAGGCGGGCTCACATAGTCGAATCGAGTGTAAAGAGATGCTTTCTCTTTCTGTTTTCTACTCGCTTGTCCTTTTCTATGTTGGAACACTACAAAGGCAAGCTGCCGAGGCTCCAGCTTCGAGCAAAAAACAGATTGACGAGGTGCTGACAACTGTCCGTGCTCACCGTGAGTGTGACCCCGCGGAACCGAGGCATTCACACTTATCAGGACATTACTGCAGTGGGGATGACGCAAAAGCTTTTAACGGACCAACTTGGACTAGCGTATAAATTCTAAGAAGAATATCACTGTACACAAAAACCATCAGTACGCAATTCTTTGTCTGTATTGACAAATAAGAATATACTTTTGTTAAATACAATGCACAATGCCACAAAGATTCATAAACTTTCAGTCAAGGAATTGTTACGTATTATAATTTTACTAAAAGTGTAGTTGGATACTGTATCACATTAGTATACTTTACGCAAGAGAAAATACATTTTAGTTTGAATAAAACGAAGTTATGACAAGCATCGATTATTTTTTACTGAATTCGACTAAGATTCGATAGAATTATCAAAGTAGTGTTTATTTTAACAGTCCACAAGAACCAAAACAAAAGGTTAAAGTAGAAATACTGCTTAAATAGTGACAAATCGAAATTATAATATATAATTTAATCTGCTGTTCACGAGCCAAATGATTGTGAATAACATGTATTGTAACATTCTTTGTTAAATGATGTTCCACGGGAATTTGAACAAACCTTACTTTTTATATTAATTATTTAAGGGAAGCATCTCGTGTAAGCGGTCAAAAAAATCGACTTTCTTTGCTTAACCCTTTCGCCTACAATATCGTGTGAGAACCGTGGTACGTCTATCGGGCCAAGCATGAGAATTTCAAGATAATTCATCTTCTTGTTCAATGATGAATCGTTCGTTATTACTTATGTAACATCCTAGAAAAAATTAAACCAGTTGTACCTTACACATGTATTTACATATTAGAAAACGTGTGCGATTTGCACAATTTCGAGCGCACGTCCGAAGCGTCAAAAAGCGTCAATCGACGCGTAATCGCCAAGACGTTGATTGTGGCGCGCCCCGTTGGAACTTAAATCGTAGGCGAAAGGGTTAAGCCAACTCTAATGCATGTAGAGAATGTGTCCCTAAAATTACAGATCGATATTCGCACTGTAATTGTAGTTATAGTCGAGTTTTTGACCGTGCGTCGAGCTGGGAGCGCTCGAAAGGTAACCAAACGATCACCTCACCCGTTCGTTCGTAACATAATGAGCAATAGGAGCACCTACGTAGTGGAATATTCCAGACCTTTTCGGCGGTAGTAGATGGGTACACGGCTTAGAAATTTGGAAAAACAAGAAAAACTGGGTGGAACAGGCAAATTAATTGATGTTTTACCATAAGAAAACTAACAACTTATTACGACTTAGCGATTCAGAGAAATGTGAATTCAGTTGATGATACGAAGAAGGAAATAATTGCAACATATAAACATTTATGCTCAACAAATGAAAAGCCGATGCACGAAAATTGCCTGCCGGGTGCAGAGAGCTGGTGTAAGTGACGCGTAGCTGAAACTATACGAGTTGTTTTTGACCACCCTGCCCCACTCCATCAAGATGTTCAAACACATTTATTACCTATCTATAAAGATTTTTCTAAAGATGAACATCTGCAGCGATGTTTAGGCGGGCATTCGCAAAATGTTAACGAGAGTTTCAACTCGACTATTTGGCGTTTGGCTCCAAAGTATTTATATTGCGGAATACAAACTTTGGAAATAGCAGCATATATTACTGCTGGAATTTTCAACGAAGGATATTTTGCTATCCTGAATATCATGAATGTACTGGAAATAAGGATAGGCTTACAGTGTAAGCAGTACGCGGACCCCTTACGACGCCACGCGGATAAAGCGCCAGGAGCGAAGAAGCGTCAGCAGCTCAAACTGCTCAAAGAGAAGCCAGGGCAAGCCAGCAGCCGTTTTAAGAGGGAACAGAAGGGATCCCATATGGCTCTGGAATCGCTGATTAGAACAAAACAGCTGTACGAAAAAGTATTACTTTTTATAACAGAAAACTTTAAACGCGTTTTTCATGAAACCACTTTTTTCAAAACGGTGTACAATATAACTAAAAAACTGTTTGTCCGATCGGGTTCTTCTGGTGCATATAAAGAATTACAATTAAAATTAAATCATTTTTATTGCACAATGAAACTGAAATTTCTTGTGGTAAAATTTCAAGTTTCTCTAAATGCCGCCGCCATTTCTTTAATTCACTTCGTTTTATTGCTCAGTGAGGTTCATTCGGTGCGTATTTGTACAAAATTTTTGACAATTTCAGATGACGCTCGTATCTCCATATACATATGTACCTATACAGGGTGAGTCTCGTAAAGTGACGACTTCAAATAATTCGTAAGTTATTTGTTGTACAAAAAAATTATTCCAACAAATG